GCCTCTTCCAGATCCAAACCAAAAACGGGGGCTTGCTGCTGGGACTCCCCCCCCCCCCGTTTCACCCCCCCCAGAACAGCAAAGGAATGGCTCACTGCTTAGATATCTCCACAGGACCCACGTTTTGCCAGAGCCCAGCCAAGGCAAGCCTTCTTCCCAAGAGCAGAGAGCCTGGCAGCAAACCCGTTTCCTCAGCAAACATCTGGCGTGTGGGCTCCATGCAGACACTGAGGTGCTGAGCCGGCCCCTCTCCCTCTACCCTGCTCCCTTTCTCAGGGATTAAGCCGTAACCCTTGCACCTCTCACCTGACTGTTGACAGCCAGATGGGGAGCAGTTGTCCCTCCAAAGGAACTAAGTCTTATCTCTTGAGGGTCTATCTTTTTGATGAATAAAAAGGAGAAAAAAGAAAGAAAGAAAGAAAGAAAGAAAGAAAGAAAGAAAGAAAGAAAGAAAGAAAGAAAGAAAGAAAGAAAGAAAGGAAGGAAGGAAGGAAGGAAGGAAGAAAGGGATAAACTCTGACGTCATGGGCCTGCGTAGGACAGAGGAGTTGGAGGCCATCTGGAGCAGGTGCTGGCAGGGCTCCTGGGAAAGAGGAAGGAGTGCAGCTGCCTTGTCAGGTGGGGGTGTCCTAGGTCAGAAAAAGACTCAAAGCTTTCCTGGAATTTCTGGCCTCTGAAGAATGATGATGCCTCCTTGGCTTCCAGCTCCACTCTGAAGGTCAAGAGAGGCACAGGTATTGAGAGCTAAGGTGTCAAGTGCGAGGAGACCCAGCCGGGCCTCTGCATCCCCAGAAAGCCTGCACTGCACTACAGTCCCAAGTGGTGTGAGGAGCCACTGGGTGTGAGTGTGCACACGCAGATCCCGCATCTGCCCCAGCTGCTTCCTACTGCCTTTGCCAGATTCCCTCCCTCCCTGTCCAGGAGGCAAGGATGGCCTTTTCCCAATTACAGGTGGTGAAACTGAAGGCTCTGAGCAGTGATGGGACTTGGCCAGGGTCCCATTGCAATATCCCTGCCCAGCCTCCCTGAGAACTGCTCACGTAGCCACCTCTTTGAGAAGTTACACAGCTGGAAGGGAGCCCCAGGATGAAATAATCACCCAAGAACACAGATGGGCTGCTAGGCAGTCCTCCACCTTGGAGGGCCTGGGAAGTGCCCCTGCTGCCCCTGGGCCAGGAGAGGGCGCTGCTGCCTGCAGTTCCTGCCCAGCTCCTGAGAAGATGCTGATCCTGTCCAGGCAGCCTTGCCCAGAAGCTTTGCACACCTGTTTCAACCCAGACACCTCCAAGGGGGCCCACTCTCATTCTCCATTCATCCTGGTACTGGACAGGACAGCGCCTGACCCAAGAAGGGCCTCCTGTGATGGATCTTACCTTCCCCCTATTGATGAAGGGTAAAGAGTAAAGACAGGGCTGGGAAGGTGGCTTCGTGGTAGAGTGCTTGCCTAGCATGCATACACAGAAAAAGCCTGAAGTGGCGCTGTGGCTCAAGTGGTAGACCACTAGCCTTGAGCAAAAGAAGCTCAGGGACAGTGCCCAGGCCCTGAGTTCAAGCCCCAGGACTGGCAAAAAAAAAAAAAAGAAAAAAAAAGAGCAAAGGCAGCCCTCCCTGCCATGCATCCTGCCATTGGAGGTAGCTTCAGACCTCAGTATTGCCTCTCCCCAGTCTGCCTCCTCTGGGACTACCGGAAGCCCCACTAGTCTACCTACTTCAGAGACTGCACGGGCCTCCTACCTGCTCTGCTCACTGGGTCACCCCTTAGCAAGCTTCTAATTTGATTTTTTTTCCTTGGATGGTACCTTCTGAAACATTTCATCATTAGCTGATCTGTTTTCTTTCTTTCTTTTTTTTTTTTGGGGGGGGGGGGTCCAGTCATGGGACCTGAACTCTGGGCCTGGGCACTGTCCCTCAGCTCTTCAGCTCAAGGCTAGCGCTCTACCACTTGAGCCACAACACCACTTCCAGCTTTTTTCTTTTTGCTTATGGGGTGCTGAGGAATCGAACCCAGGGCCTCATGCATGCAAGGCAAGCGCTCTACCACTGAGCCACCTTCCCAGTCCTTGCCAATCTGTTTTCAATCTAGGTTCTTTTGTCTTTCCCTCTTTCCCTGTGTGTCAAGCTCGGCACAGATTTGTCCTGTTCCAGGAAGCCCACCCTGCTGGGTCAAGGAGCCCTTTGGGGTAGCCTCATCCCCGATGCTGTCCTTGGCAGCTGACAAAGCCAGTGCCTACTTCATGGGGGTTCTTCCTGTTGAGATGGGGCTCAAAGTGGTTTCTGAGCAAGCTGAGGGGATGGATGTTCTGCAGATACTTAGAGGATCCGTGAGTGACAAATGACAGAGCACCCTACAGACACTGTCAGGGCCGCAGGGTCCAGTGGCTTTTGCTCCCTCCTCTGCCATCAGGAACTTTAGCACCAAAGCTCCAACATCATGCCTGGAACAGTTTCAGCACCAGTCATTGGGAAAAGGCCTTTCCTGCCTCCCGGACAGAGATGGAGGGAATCTTGCTCTGTGAGTCAACCCTCCCTCATCCCCACCAGGTCCCTGGAGCCAGAGGTGAAAGAAGTAGACTTCCCAAGGGAAAGGCAGCTGGAATCTCAAATCCAGGCTCAGGAAGGAAACAGGGAGCATAAAACCTTCTGGTATGTGGATTCCATACCTCCCAGAAGGTCCCTGAAGCCCAGTCCTGGACATCCTGTCACCCAGCTGTCACCCAGCTAGGTGGAGCTGCTCCTAATCCCCCTCCACACAGGGAAATGGAGAGTAGAGTGTAGGAGCTTCCACAGTTTCAAGACTCAAAATGAAGACCTAGATAGTTGCTAATCCATCACTAAAGGTGTCCAAGAATATAGAAGACAGAAAGGACTCATCTATAGGCATTCAGAAGGAGAGAGTCATGGGCACTTGAAGGTTCCAAACCTTAATGGTCTCTTCATAAGGGGCCATTAGAAGGTATTGCTGATGTCCCCTGGACACAGGGACAAATGAGGCAAGTATCAGAGAAGCTGGGATGGTACTATCTCTCTCTGTCCCACAGCCCACTTGGAGATCCCTCCTCTTTCCTCCTTCCTGCTCTCTTCCCGTCTCAAGCACAGTGTCACTCTATGAGTTGTTAAACCTGCAGAACTGACCAAGGACATCACGTTCATGTCTGGATCTTCCTCGAAGGAGTCTGCCATCCCAGACTCAAATTTCACCTGCCATCCCAGACTCAAATTTCACCTGTGAATTGCTTCCTGGACCAAGGGAAGGATGGGGAAGCCAGACACTGGTGCCTTACACCTGTAATCCTAGCTACTCAGGACACAGAGATCTGAAGATGGCTGTTCAAAGCCACCCCTGGCAGGAAAGTCTGTGAGATTCTGATCTCCAACTAACCACCAAAAAGCCAGAAGTGGAGTTGTGGTTCAAATGGTAAGATGCTAGCCTTGAACGGAATGCAAAGGGATAGCACCCAGCCTCAGCATTCAAGTCCCAGTACCCACACTAAAAGGGGGAAAAAAGGAGGGGGGGGCCGTTCAAGGGAGCTATTGAACCCTGAAAAGGGGAACGGGAAAGGGGAAAACAGGGAGGCAGCACTGCAGACAGGCCGACCTTGCTTCCTCAGTCCCAGGGCCTGGCTTTGTGGCCATGCTACCCGGGGAGCACCTGGTTCTCCAGGTCCAGGGGCCTCTGCTGTCCTCCACCCTGGGGTGCTTCCTCCTTTTCCTGAGAAAGCCAATTCTGCCCACGGGACTCAGTCTCAGCCTCAATATTCATTTTCCCCTCTGCGCACCCTGCTCAGCAGAAGGGACAGAGATCCAGGCTTTTCTGCCTCCTTGTAAATCCCGGGGGAATCTTAGACTGGGAGGGACCGAGGCGCCCAGGGCAGGGAGAGGAAGTGGAGAGAGGGTGCCTGTACAGCGCCAGATGCGATGTGCCCACCCGTGTCGGCTCAGGGAGGGTAGCGTGGGGTTGGCGATGGGCCAAGTCCACCAGTGCTCGGGAATCTGCAGCGGCTCCCATCCCGCAGCCCTCGGATGGACCCCGGTGGGGTCAGTTGCCCACGGGTCTGCACAGCCAGAAGCCAACAGCCGGGTCAAACCCAAGAACGTTCTGGGCGGCTGGTGGGGTCAACTCCAAATTTAGAGCAGTGGAGGACTGACGTTGCCACCGCGCGCGCACGGGCACACGCCTGTGCCTTGCGGGTGCGCTGGCAGCCCTTTCGCTTCCCCGCTCACGCTCCAACACTCGGGCTGCGGAGACACTTACACTCGTGACCCGAGCAGGCTCGCCCCTCCCCGGGCCGTCCCTCCGGAAAGCCCGCTCTCCCTGAGCCTCCCGCAGGGAGCTCCTGGCCCCATCCTCTGCCTCCACCATCGGGCAGTCTGCGCTCGCACCGGGACCAGCAAGCGAGAGACGCGGGCAGGCCGCGCCCGGGAGGGTCCCCTACCCACCCACCCCAACATGTTTAGAAACAAGGCAGATCTGCGTGGACTTCGCAGAGCAAGTTTCTACTGGTTCCGTGATTTGAGATAAGAGATTTAATTCCTCTAAGCCTGCCTTTGCACCTGCAAGGAGGAACGAGGCTGCCTTCCAGGTAGAGCGCGCGTGGGCACCGCGGCCGGGGCGCACCGGGGCCTGGGCGCACCGGGACTCGGGCGCACCGACGCTTGCAAAACTAGTGCGCGCGCTCTCGGCAGATGGGCTTCCCCTGCGAACCACTTTACGGCTCGGAAGGCACTGGGAGTCGGCCCGCCGAGCCGCGGGATCCTCTGGAGGTGGGATGTGGGTGGGGGCAGCCCCCTCCTGGCCCTCGGTTCGGCCGCGTGCGCCGTGCCATTGGCCCCCGCGGCCCGGTGGGCGGGAGGATGACATCAGCGGCAGGTTGGATTATAAAAGGCACGAGCGGAGCCACGGGCTCAGAGCGCACCCAGCCGGCGCCACGCAGCACCGGGGCCCGCGCTCGTCCTGCAGCCCGGCCAGCCCGCTCCGCACTCGCCTGCCCGCCGGCCCGCCTGCCCCCAGGGCGACCCTGCTGGGGGAGCCATCGTCCGCGCCCCTCGACCGCACCGGCACCATGCACCTCTCTCAGCTGCTCGCCTGCGCCCTGCTGCTCACGCTGCTCTCGCTCTGGCCCTCGGAGGCCAAGCCCGGGGCGCCACCAAAGGTGGGAGCTGGTGCGGGGGGGACTCTGAGCCCGGCGAGGGGCGCGGGAGGCTGCGCGCCGGGGAGGACGTGGCGCACGGGGAGGGGAGGGAGGGCGGGAAGACTGCCCTCTCCCCCCCTTTCCCGCCCTCTCCTCCGACGTGTGTCCTCGCAGCCGGGACTCTGGGAGGGGGGGGCTGTCACCCACACCCCACACCCCGCAACCTCGGGAGCGCGTCGGCACTTTGGCGGCCCCAAGCCCACTGCGTGTTGCGCAGCTCCGCAAGTGGCAGAGCTACAAAAGCGAGGCGCAGGGTAGGCCCCCCCCCCCCGGAAAGAACGGACAACTGCAGCCAGCCTCGTGGCAGGTGGATGCCAGGGCAAAGTGTCCGGCGTCGGAGGGGACGCGCTCGGGGCGAGGAGGGCCGGCCGCTCCGCGCGGCCGGGCGGGGCCCCTCCGGGTCACCTGCGCCCCCGACCCGAGCGCCGGTTCACCCGCCCGCCCTCCTCTCCCACAGGCCCCGCGAACCCCACCAGGGGAGGAGACGGCCGAGCCTCAGGCTTCGGGCGGCGGACAGAAGAAGGGCGACAAGACTCCCGGAGGCGGCGGCGCCAACCTCAAGGGCGACCGATCGCGACTGCTCCGGGACCTGCGCGTGGACACCAAGTCGCGGGCGGCGTGGGCCCGCCTTCTGCACGAGCACCCCAACGCGCGCAAGTACAAAGGAGCCAACAAGAAGGGCTTGTCCAAAGGCTGCTTCGGCCTCAAGCTGGACCGGATCGGCTCCATGAGCGGCCTGGGATGCTAGTGCGGCGACCCCTGGCGGCGGTGAGTACCCCGGGCCCGGCGGCGGGGCCGCCCGGGCACCTGGCTGGCTGATGCCCCGCGGTGGGACCCATCCGCCTCCCCAGCCGCTCCTGATGCGGGATGAGGTGCGCACTAGGCATTTTCCCTGGCACCCCAGTTGTCCTCCCATTTCACAGAAAGCGAAGGTCGGGCCAGTTGGAAATGGCTCTCCCTCGATGAACCCATCTGACTTCCCGAGGAACAGCAACAGGCTTAGGGACCCCCGGCCACCCTAGAACCACAAGTCGGCCAGAAGCATTGGCCCAACCATTACGGGAGCTGTAGGGAGATTCTGGGTTTGGGACTGCGTTCCCAAGCTCACGCTGTGCCCGTGGCAGCCACGTTTCCAAGAGCCCCGTGACGCGGGACAGGTGTGGAGCCAGACTTGCCCCTCACAGGACAGAGAGTGGCCTCGTGGGCAGCACTCGCGTGCCCTCCTGCTTGGGACATTCTGATTCTTGCTGTGGGCAAACTGGTCTGTCCAGGGTGCTGATGCCGCTTGGCTGTGTGGCTCCAGGCGCCAGCCTCGGTGTCTGTGACCCTATTTTATAACAAACTAAATCTCTCTCTTTTTTGGGCCACAATCTCAAACTCAAAATGTCCCAAACGAGTTCTTTACTAGCCCTAACCCCCACCTCCAAACTGTGCTCTGGGCCTCGGGTCTCTAGCACAGCTTCCTTTCCACCCCGAGCTTGCAAGTTCAGTCTTAGCAGCCGTCCCTGCTGTGGTAGCAATATACTGCTGCAAAGACACATCCCCACCCACCCCCTGCTGCCCTTCCTTCACCTCCACTAGCGCTGCCCACCCGTGCTGCGGGGCTGCCTCAGGGATTAACAACATCTGACATGACAGGTGCATGAGGGTCAGGCTCCTCCTGCTGCTCCTAGCTCTTACCTCTGCTCTAGCTGCTTCCCTTGCCTGTCTTACACCCTGTCTATTGCCCCAGGCCTGAGAAACCTGTTTTCCCCACCCTGAAGGTCTGATCAGTGGCCACAGTCTTCTCCCAGGGGGAAACAAGAGCCCCTCCCTGGCATCTTGCCTAGGTCTGTTATACTGCACGGGACAGATTTTCTTGGGAGGCTTATTAATTCATGAGCAACTTACATGTCACGTGCTGGCATAAGGCTACCTAGGACCCAGATCATACCCAAAGGGTTTTAGAAATATTCATCATTGAACAGAGAAGTCTACACACCAGCTCATTGGTCTACCAATTGCCACCCACCTGAGGTGAAGCTGGCCACCTTCCTCTCCGCAGCCAGAGTTGACAGAGCTGTGTGCGTCTCCCCGATTCTGTACTCTTCACTCATCTGTGATCTCAACTCCCCCTACACTTGAGAGCAAAGATTATGGCACTTGGAGGCTAACGTTAATTATGACGTCCTTTGCGCTCTTCTCTCCTGTATAAATAACAGAGGTGGAGACAAAGGCCTTAAATATTCAGCTGATAATTTAGGCACCACGATCCAACTTCAGGATCTAAGTAAGAGTTAGGTATGCTTCTCTGGGTTAGAGCCTGGGATGAGCTCCCCCACCCCCAAGAGAGGGTGGCCACCTGGATGGTGAGGTAGAGGGGATCCAAATGGCTAAGACTTCTATATCCCATAACTAGGGAAGGGCATCAGTCTCCTGGAAGTTTTCTTAGCCTCTTGGAACCCCTAATGTCAACAGTCTTAGCCTTCTCCCTGCCCCCCCTCCCTAGCAACAGGGCAGATCACCCCTACCTGCAGGCATCTGGCCTTAAAGAAAAGACAGTGTAAGTTTTTCATACTGATGAAAACTCTCAAGAGGTCGTGGCCATTTCTCCACTTAGGTTGACTTTGGCTCCAAACATCATCTTAATGATGGTTGAGGACGGTTGTAGGACTTGATTATAAAATACTAATGACAGAGACAGGGCATGGCCGAGACCTCAGTGTAAATTTTACCCTGGAGTCCAGAGATTAAAAATATTTCAGCCTGGTGCCAGTGGCTAGCACCTGTAATTAGCTACTCAGGAGGCTGAGATCTGAGGATCACAGTTAAAGCCAGCCCCGGCAAGGAAAGTCTGTGAGTCTCTTATCTCTAATAAACCACCAGAAAACTGGAAGTGGCACTGTGGCTTAAGTGGTAGAGCACTTGCCATGGACTGAAGAGCCCAGGCCCAGAGTTCAAGCCCCTGAACTGACAAAAAAAAAAAACTCAGCCAAAATAGCTAGAGGGAGAGATGGGGAGAGCTGACCCAGTCAGTTCATGCTCAGTGCCTATGTGCGTGCGGCCTTCCCTGTCACAGAACCTGGCGTGCGTGCACACACACACACATTAGCAGGCACTAATACACTTGGTACACACCTTCATGCCATCCTGATCTCAACCTACAACCCATGTGCCCAGCTGCTGTTGGAGGCCAGTCCCCTGCTTCTGAAGGGGATCCTGAGCCAGCTGCTTTCTTTGATGAAGCCAGCATGGAAAGGAAATAAATGCTCTTTCCTGATTGACAGCCGTGACCCAGACACTGCCAATGCCTAATACGTGGTCCTCTGCTGACGCCCCACACCAGCCCTGGGAGGTGGCTATTATCTATTTTATGGGTGAGCCCAAAGCTACTCAGGATCACCTGGGGAGTCGAGGTCAGAATTGGAATTTAAGTCTAGAAATTCCAGCTCTCCAGATAATTTTCCTTCTCTGACCCTCCATGGCCACCAAGATACACAGGCAACAAGAGGAGCTTACCGAAGGTTTGCAGTGGAGTTTAAAAAAGAAAAGAAAAGATGGAGGAGGAGTCCCTTTCTTTCCCTCACTGTGCCTTACTCAGGGCCTAAGGCAGTCTGTAGTTAACTGGAGTGCAGGAAGGCTAGGCTGGCGGACGGTATGGTTCCACCTGTGCCAGGGCAGCCCAGCACCAAGGGCATAGCAGATGAAGGCCTGAAGGAGGCCAGAATGGAAGGCCTTCCCCTCTACTGGAAGGCCTATATCAGGGGGTGATAGGGCAAAGGTAGAGGGTCTTTGTCTCCTATTGCTGTGGGAAAAGGGAGGAAGCTTCTAGAACGGTACTGTAGGCTAGGCTTTCTCAGCTAAGAGTCCAGAATTGAGTGTCCTGTGTCCACTCTCTTTCAGGATTGGAAACTGCTTTACCAGCTGAGGTCATCCTTGGTCATCAGCCTCCAGCATCTGGAAACACCTCCAAACGCAATGTGGCTTTTACATTTCTTTTCTTTTTTTTCCCCTTGGTACTGGGAATACACAACACCAGCTGTTTTATTATTATTTGGGGAGGGGAGGGCATGAGTTTATTGTTTGGATTTTTTTGAAAATGAAAAATAAAAAGTTATATTATATATATATATTACATACATGAAACACACCTACACCGACTTGATGACGAGGGGCAGTTTTTAAAAGACTGACAGAACCAGCTGTAAGACATTGCTGTTTGTAAATTCATGTCATGCATAAATGTATTTATGTTGTAAAGCTATTTATATTGTTTATAAAGAGATATTTATAAAAATTTTATTTATGTAACTAAATGAAAAAAGCCAATCATTGTAATGTTTTTGTCCTAACTAGTTGAAAAACTGTAAAAAAAAAAAAAAAACAAAAAAACAAAAAAGGAAAACAAAAACAAAAAAAAGTCATTCCATGAACATCTTGAAAACTGTCTTTATTTATATTTTGTTTAATTAGTTATCAGGCCTTAGTCTGAGGCAAAGAGAGAGTGAGACCAAGTATTTGCCTACAAATGTATCTTTCGCCTTCACAACTGTGGATTGATATGTATCGGAATCCCCTTGGGGCCCAGCGCAGTGCTTCTCACCTGTCATCCTAGCTATTCAGGAGGCTGACCTCTGAGGATCAAGGTTTGAAGCCAGCCCAGCCAGAAAAGTCCATGAGACTCATCTCCATTACCACCACCACCCCCCCCCCCAAAAAAAGCCAGAAGTGGAGCTGTGGCTCAAGTAGAGCACTAGCCTTGAGCATAAAAGCTCAGGAATCGTGCCCAGGCTATAAATTCAAGCCCCAGTACCTGCATTCATTCATATTCTCTCTGCTCTCTCTCTCCTTCTCCCTCTTCTCCTTCTCCCTCTCCCTCTCTCTTTCTGTCTCTTTCTGTCTCTGTCTGTATGTCTCTGTCTCTGTCTCTTTGTCTCTGTCTCTCTCACTCCCTCTTTCTCTCTCTCTCTCTTTCTCTCTCTCTCTCTCTCTCTCTCTCTCTCTCTCTCTCTCTCTCTCTCACACACACACACACACACACACACACACACACACAAACTCTTAGTTATCTGGAGATAACTTTTTTGCCCAGTCTGGCTTTGAACTGTAGTCCTCAAATCTGTCTCCTGGGTAGTAGAATTACAGATATGAGCCACCGATGCTGGGCTTCGGGTAGGTCTCCTCTATATACCGTTCCCAAAGCCTGGGCTGTAGGGTTAGTCCTCTACAATTGTAGGGTAGTCCCCTACAATCTCTTGATGACTGCCTGCCATGGACAGCTTGGGAGCCTGAGACTGGACCTGGAGGAGATCCAGGCTACCAGATTTCCCATGGTGCAATGCGGGGTGTGCTTTGTAAGGGGGTTGTGGCTATTCTTTTCACTTGAAGCTGTTAACAATTAAGCCCCATGGAGTCTTGAAAGGAAATCATGAATAATGATTTTGAATTTATGAATATAATTTAGATTAGAATCTTTTCCTGAAACCAGCAGGAAACGTAACTAATTTGGAGATAGGTAATGTCAGTTACATCCTCCACTCAGCAATCGCCCTGTGCAGCCTTCCCATCCAATGACCCGGGGAGGGGAAGGCAGGAAGGAGCCTGAAGAGCCTTTTGGGCTGCTGGCATTGGGTAGCTTGGGGGTACTTTGCTCAAGGAACTTGGGCGCTGCATGGCTCTGTGGCCATGAAATCAGCAGGTCTGGAAGAAGAGTTTCAGAAAACGAAAAAAACAAAACCTGTCCCCGGGGAGATGGCTGGTGGCACTTGGTCTTCCTGCCGGCATGTGCACCAGTCATAGCATCAGGAGGCAGGATACCAACTGGGGAAGGCTGGAGTCCTTCCCACCAGGCCTCAGCTTCCACCACTGCTTCCAGGTGACACTTCCTGTCCCCTGGGGGACCTGGGCAGGATAACATGCCTCTGTGTCACTCCCCTCTGTGGCTAGAGACACGCCGCCTGTGTTGGCGAGGGTGGAGACTGGGGCACCCAACCTCACGGCAATGGCTGTGAAGGCTTTGTGAGCAGGGGGGGTGGGAGGGAGGCAGCATCTGGAAGGTGACAGGGTGGGAGGCAAATGATTACACTGCGCACTCAGCCAGTGACAGGACACACCCTTCTGAAAGCCCAGAGATGGAAGGGACAGTGAGTTCAGGGACGCAGGGAGCCATCATAAGAACTGACAGGTTTTCTCAGTGATCAGCACCCAGGACACCAGTAACTCAGGGCAGATCAGGAATTTAAGGCCCAAACTCATGTGTGGGCCCCCAAATCGCCACTCTCAAAGCTCACCAAGTGAGGCCAGACCTTCCACCTCTTGGCTAAGGACCATTTGTCTTCCAGCCCTGGAGTCCTGTGACGAATGACTGGCTCCTCGGCGGGGATGATGCTATCCTCTGGAAAGTCACAAAAGCCTGACATTCAGTTAAATCACTGGAAATGTGTGCAAACCTCCAGGAACTTTTCCCAGAGCTGTGACCCAGAGCTCCCAGCTTCCTGTCAGGTCAGACCTCCTTCCTGGCCCCAGGCATCTCATCGGATGCTGCCTGTAGGACCTGGAGCCTTCATCCCACACATAGAGCTACAACAGCAGGGATCTGTTTGAAGTCAGGGCCTTGGGGATGAAATTGCCTGCGGTCCTGGTTCTCTGAGCCCAGAGAGACCCCTGGGCAGCGTGTGAGGCTCCCCTGTGCAGGTACAGGCCAACTGGGTGGACAGTCCACAGGGCAGCAAAGGCCAGCTGCTTGAAGGCCTCCAGCCTCCCTCTCTGTGTCCTAGAGGAAGCTCTGCCCTTTGTTGGAGTCCTGGATAAGCAAGATTTCAGAGCAATTTGAAATTCGTTGCCCCAAGCTTGCTGAGTCCCTCATACTATAGCTATTGACCTACAGAAGCCCTGACCTGGAAGGACTAGGCCCTGAATGTCACCTTGGGCTCCTACCTTCACTAGAGGAAAGGTCTGGTCTGCCAAGCTTGCTTGAGGACATGGTTCTGAGAGATGACACTTCATGGTAGCATCTCCTAGCTGTAGAGGGGCCAGGTCCACAGCCAGCTGCATGGTTCTGGGACCCACCTTCTCTGCCCTTCCCCAGCAGGGCAGTAGGAAGTGGGGCTGTGCCTGAGCAAGGGACTCAGGTGATCAGAGAGACCACAATGTCTGGACCTGGCCTTGGGAAGAGCTCTGAGCCCGGGTGGTGGGGCAGGGCAGCAGACTGGGAAGGCCCACCACCCTTGTTTGGGAAGGAGGTAAATGAGGAAGGAGCATTGGTCAACCAGGGTCTGTCTTAGTGCATTTTCAGTGGCTGTAACACACTACCTCGCCTATCGAGAGCAGCATTTGGCTCATGGTTCTGGAAACTGGGTTGGCTTATTGAAGAGATTTTTTTCCAGCAGTGTGGGTAGGTGAGATAGGACAGGCCTAGAAGGAAGGCAGGTTCTACCCAGGGTGGAAAGAAAAGAAGGAAGGGAGGGAGGGAGGTGTGGGAGGAATCCCACCATCTGAGCTGGATGAGGGGATTATTCAGCAGGAGATTTCACAGGCTGAGAACTTCCTCAGGTGCACAACACCAGGGCAGAACGAAGGCGAACTATCCTCTCCACCAGCATCCTGCTGGACCTCCATTGACTAAAGCTTCCCAGAAGCCAGCCAGCACATGCGCAAGGGGTGATGGCCGGGGTGGAAATCAGTGGAGCAGAATGGAACTCCATCACCAGCACAACAGGGCCTTGGGTTGAAGCATGGGGTTCGGCATCTTCCTTTGAAAGGATGGGGCCTGGTGGAGGAGGTGGAGGGCTGATCTCAACTCCCTCTCAACTCTCGCTTGCCTTAAGTACACCACTACACAGGAGAGATCAGATCAGAGACCCGTACAGCTCACACTACGGTGTGATCAGTGACTGTACAGACATCCACACAGTCATGGTGAGTTGGCCCCAGCTTGTCTGGAGGGCCGCTGGTCTCCCCCCTCCCCCCCCCCGCCCCCCCCCACCTCATCCCAGGGAAGGCTAATCAGCAGTAACCCCTCTCTGGTGGCAGATTGCAGGATAGCATTTATCCAATCCTCACCCCAAGGCCTGGGCAGACACCATGTGTGCAGCCTCCCGTCCAGAGTACAGGTCTCTGCCCCCGATCCTCTAGCCAGGACTCCACATTGAGTTCACATCTCTGACTCAATTTCCCATTGCGCCAACTCTGTTCTTAACACCTCAGTGTTAACACCTTCAAGCTCATTGCGTTTCTTTAAAAAAAATAAATTGTCTGGAACTTTCCCATCTCGGATCCTCTTACCTTTCCTGTCCGCAACGTCCTCTTTGATCTCCCTCTTCATTTTAGCTCCTGACTCAGGAAGCCCACATCCTTCTGCACTCTCCGTGGAACACGCCACTTGGCATTCTAGATTTTTCTGTAGACATTCTGGGAAGTCCTGTTCTGTATGTGACTATCACATCTCATCTGGTTACTTTTATGATTTGCAATACATGACAGAAAGAAATTGGGGGGAAATGACAGAGAGTCCAGAATGGCAGGAAATGGTCAGTTACTTCAAGGAGTACCACACAAGCAGTAAGAAGAACGGCTGGTCAGCTGTTGGTTGGCACTTAAAGACCCGGAGAGCAAAGGGAGAAGTTGTCACCCATCAGGACATTTAGTCCATGGCCGGAAGCCAGGCCTGAGCCAGATGTTTCTATCTGTGAAGCCGATGAGAGTCTGCTCCTCCTGATTCTGGCTTCACACTCCCTGCTGTTCTCCCCGGGGGTCCCTTTGAGTTTGGATCCATCTGGATGTCTTCTAGGATGGGTTTCCTCCAAAACCAGCTGAGAGCCAGGGACTGTTTTAGAAAGAATATCCACAGTTGCGAGAAACTTAACCATTTCATTAGCATTTTTCTTCATTTTTTTTCCAGGTAGCTCTTATAATTGATATCTTGATGCTTGCTAATGTTTTGTTTTGTTTTTGTGCCAATCCTGGGGCTTGAACTCAGGGCTGACTTTGAACCGCAACCCTCATAGCTCAACTTCCTAAGTAGCTAGGATTACAGGTCTGAGCTACTGGGGTCTGGTGACTAATGCTTCTTTTTG